ATAACTTCGATATCATGCAATTTTGCTGACTTTCTTCCACCGTAGCGAGTAAGCCTAACAATCTCTTCCTTCATCATTTACACCTCTCGCCGGTGATTTTGTTCGACTAAAGCTCTTTCTTTGTTCTTCATCCTTGTTCTCGCCCTAGTGTGGTGAATGCACGAAGGAAGTGTAGTTTTGGAAGATCGATCTATATTTCGTTCAAGCAAAAGACAACAAATACTAGATAAAAATAATAGGTTAAAGAAAAAAATAAAATGACACTCGAGACTTGGATATGCAATAGCCATCTATAGGGGATGACAAAAGAACTCGATCGTTGATTCTTCAATCCTCTTAAGTTTAAGGATGAATTCGGATTCATCGGTAGCTTTTTAGGATTACAAAAATGGAACATGTCTTGATAGATGGTGGCATTGATTGCTTGGCCCTTTCAAGTTTAAAGATGAATTCGGATTCATCGGTAACTTTTAGGAATTTCGAAAAGAGGACTCGCTTCAACAAGTGGCAACGCTCGATCGTTAGTTAGATTCAAATCCTAATGACATCTAACAAATCTTTCCCTTCGGATTGTGGTGCCATTTTGTTTTGAAGAATGACAATAAGTAACTTGATGGCCTTGGTGCCGGTAAAAGTCAACCCTCAAAGTCACTTCTTATTTAAAGCCATCATATTATCTTAATCGAAATTGTGAGGCTCGGAGTTTCCATTACAAATGAGTTATCGTAAATTTAAAGAAAGATGTCAACACTTTTATTATTCAAAATGAGGAGTATGAGGGCTCCTATTAGTTCATAAGACATCTTTCTTTTACATAATGAATGGAAGAAAACTCATACAATAAGAAATGAAATAAAATAAGAAAAGCGATTCAATCGATAGTTCGCTCATAGTCCAAAGACCTTTCCTCTTCTAGCGATTTCAAACGGCAAATAGTCACATCTCCTTATGTATTCGGCCACTTGCTTCATTATGATTTTTCACCCTATGCTCATTGATGGCTAAATGTAGCTCTTGAAGTGCTATAGCTTCCTTGGAGACTTCCTTTCCTTGATCGTCTAGCACAACTAAGCTTTTGCCTCATTCGGTATCGACTCGAGCTAAGTGGTTGTGTATGGTAGCCTAATACGAGGACAACCTAATTAACTCTTTCTCCGGATGTCGATTCTCCTTTTTGAGTGTTGTGATCCGACTTTGTGCCTCTCCTACTTGCTCCAATGGAACCTATCGATGGCTACATTTAGTGTATAGAGACAAGTTGCCACTTCTCATGACCTTCTCTAACCCTCGATATTTCGACCCCAAATTTCTCAACTCCTCGCTCTACTCACCTATCTTGTCATTGTAACCTATCCATCTCGGCATATTTGGCCTCTAGTTTTGCTTGAGCCTAATGATAGTTTGATTTCTAGTATTCCTCTTCGACGGCTATACTTTGCCAAGCCTCTAGATCTTACTCCAAGTCTAGTATCTTTTCTTTATCTTTCCCTCTCATCTTTTTTTCCTTAGCCGGATCACATGCTAGTTTCGATTCTCATCCTCGATCCTCTCGATTTCTTTGGTGAGGTCCCGATGGTTAGTAGGGACTAATTTTATGAAGTCCTCCATTCTCATTTTCTTCCCTTTAGACTAGCTAGGCACAACACTCGGATCTTATGGTGTTACCGGCTCATTCCCCTCGATAGGCTGGTTTGGACATCCATTTCCCACGACTTGGTCGAGTCGGCTAATTGTTTGTAGTCTTTCACCCTATTTGGTTGCCATGTGGGGTATCTAATTCATGATCAACTCGTTCCTCCTCCCACTACTCTCGGAGTTAACCAATCCTATAGAACCTGTTCGAGGAACTCGGGAGTGGCATCTTTCTTAAGTTTTCCTTCAATCCCATTTAGGTCCATGGTTCTAGGGATAGCACTGTTTATAGCCTAATTGCCTCAATACCATAGAGGGAGCATAACAAGTATACCCGAGTTGCTCCTATTAGAGGAACCCAAGGTCATGCTCCATAGTAAGCTATGTATGCCCTTCGATTAATCCAAACCATCTTCCACGTAAAGGCCTCGATCGACAAGCTAAAAAATGATGAAAACCACTCTCGTTCAAACTTGATTTTCCATTTGTCGCCCAAGAACTCTTTCAATGGTTCTTGATCGGTCCACCGAAGATGTCTTGAAAACCAATTTATAGGTTTCGAAATGGTTAATTACCCATACAAAAAACACCCGAACACAACATTTCATACTCCCTTTCCCAAACCTCCTACAGCGACTCAACGAGGAGAAGGTTTCGACTAGAATGGCAGCGATATGATTTATGGAGTGTTTCTCCACCTTGATGAAGACGTTGGTCGCATCTAAACCGATTAAACCAACTATTGAGGGAAAAAGCACCAACCCGGAGATCATAAGTGCTAGAATCTTGAGCCGTTTCGAGGTAGCTCTTGGGTCCTTCAGCTTTTATTTGAACACATCCAACCAGCTCTCAATGTGCCATTCATCGACATTCCCTCTAGCTTTACCATGAATCATGCTTATGTCTAGCCAATCCTCTACCTTTTTCTTAATATTTGATCTTCTTGATATAGATATACCCGATGTAACATGTTCGACATGTTTAGAAGTTGATGATACTCCTCCAAGGTTGGGGTCACGTCTAGTCCCCCTATAGTGAAACATTTATATGAAGGGTCCCATAGATGGGCCAAGGCCTCGAGAGCGGGCTTCGAACTCGCATCTCTAGTAACACCGTGAGATTCCTATAGTTAGCTTGAAACTTGTACTAGTCATTAGGGCTCGACATCTTCCAACAATCAAGCAGCTTTTGCGTGTCATTGATCACTAACTAGAAGTGTGTGATCTCCTTATGGTTCCTCCGAAATTCCAGTCCTAGGCAATCTCCCTCTCGTTTTTTGCAAAGCCTTAGAAGTTTTTTTGAATTCGGCCACTAAGTGAGTTTGGATCCGAGTTCTTTTGTCACCCATCCTAAAACAACACGACCAGATTGCTTGGTCAAGGTTGCGACATATTTGGCTTACCTAGTGAATTTATACAGGAAATGTGGTCCTAGGGTCCGGTTCTAGCCATTACATGATTGGGTAGGATTTATCTAAGTCTCAAAGGGTCCCTTTTGGCTTGGCAAAACCGAGGCCGACCAAGTGCGAAGCTAGTAATCATGGAGACCATTGAATACCTATCGTGACATTGGCGGCTTTCCAAAAGAGTTGAGGTTTCGTGAGTGTTACCTAGGGCAAAACCCATCGGGGCACCGAGTAATTCCTCCTTAGATCCTAAGGCAAATGCAAATGTCATAAAGATATGCAATGTGGTGTGTGCATAGGCATTATTCCATATCCAGATCACCATTAAAAATAAAAATACAATAAGGATACAAACGAGAAAAAGAAACATAAAAATAAAAAAAAAGGCGAGAAAAAGGAAAAGATGAGTAGGAATCAAGAAAAATGATCAAATAATTAGATATATAAATAAAATAAGATGAAAAATTCAAGGCGAACAACAAAACAAAAGGCAAGAATTTAAACACAATAGGCAAATTACGTAAATAGGCTAATTAGGCAAAAGAGAAGAGGCCACATAATCGAAATCAAACTCAAAATTGCATGTAAAGCCTAACCTTAAGTATGTCCCCAATGGAGTCGCCATTCCGTCGCGAGGGCGATGTCGGTCGATGAGATAAAATGTAGGGCGGATGATCGGAGTCCCCATCTAGTATTATGGTTATTAGGAAATCTCATGATCGGTCTATTTAGAGTTTCATGTGAGGGGTTTATTATGTGTAAGGAAGATCAAAAGTCACCCTATCCCGTCTTGTTTAAGGCAAGCTATATCATATATAACATTGGTTCAATTTCTATTTTTTTATGAAAATGCCCCTAGTCGAGTGATTCGGGACTCGGTCGGTCGGAGATCTCATCCTCACTCTATAATGGATGGCTAGAAATGATGGAAAAACAAATAAAATAAAATAAAACGAGTAAAAGTTGACAACTTAAGTAAAAACGAGGCAAAAATCGATAACTTAAGCAAAAATAGGCAAAAATCGGCAACCTAGGCAAAAAGAGGCTAAAATTGGCAACTTATGCAAAAACAAGCAAAAATTGACAATTTAGATAAAAAAAAAAAGGCAAAAATGGCAACTTAGGCAAAAACTAGCAAAAATCGACAAATTGGGCGGAAATAGGCAAGAATAGGCTAAAATCGACAACTTAGGAAAAAACAAGCAAAAATCGACAACTTAGGCAAAAATATGCGAAATCGACAACCTAGACAAAAAGAGGTAAAAATAAGCAACGAAAAACGAAAGCCACGGCTTTGGCTAAAATCGACAACGAAAAACGAAAGCTACGAGCTTTAGGCAAAATTGGCAACGAAAAATGAAAAGTGATGGCTTTGGCTAAAATATGCTAAAATTGGCAAACGAAACGAGCACACCTAGGAACAAATTAATGAGAACCGACAATAGGACCGGAATCGAAGAAGATACACAAATTGATGAAATTAATTACTTTAGCATGCTTAATAAAAATGGAGTTACATGGCAACATTTCAAACTTGCTTGGTTCGACATGCATGTTTTTTTATAAAATCACCATAAGAGACACTCCCTTAAAATATACATGTCGAACAACAAATATTCAAACGCTCAAACCGATGCATCATACCATAAAATCAACAATGCACATTATCGTAATTCTAACAAATTACACATAAACAAACGAGATGAAATTAATTATATCACATTCACTCAATTAATTACATGACACATATCAACATCAAGAAAATTTAATACATGTTAAAAATAAAAATAAAATAAAGCAAAAAGTAGAAAAACATTACTCTAAAGAAGAAAAAGAGGCAAGCTGATTTGCTTGATGACTCGAGGTTAGGTTTGATCATTTCGACCCCGATGGAGACTAATACTTAGTGAACCTGGGAAGAAAGGTGTTTGTTGGCAAAGCATGGGAAGGCTCGTCGTGGGTAATGGCTCGCTCGCTAGAAGTCGGCGTTGGCTCTAAGCATGTCGCTAGTGTCTGCCTGGCGCTAGCATGCTCGTTGGCATGCTCGCCGGCGTGCTTCGCTAACGCCGATGCCGACACACTACCGTTGTTGTTGGGGCGAAGCACCGGCGTAGGGCCGGTGTATGGGCCGGCACTACACGTCCGACATGGGGGCTACCTGGCTTGTGGAGGTGCAACAAGCCCGTATGAGTGCTAGTGGGAGAAGCCGATGGGGATGGTGGCATGGAAGGAGAGTTGTTGTGGAAGGGGTGGTTGCTAGCGTGGGGAGATGGCTATGTGCATGAGGTGGGCTGCCGGTGTCGATGCAAGAGGGCTGGCAGCTACGGTTCCTTTTTGCGGGGTGAACGATAGGCGATGTTTTTTGGAGGAGAAAAGAGGGCTTTTCTACTAGCTTTTTAGGGTTTTTTTGGCAAAAATCTATTTTAGTCCCTCATTTTAAAAACCAACTTTATTTTACTTCTCTTCTCTTCTCTTCTTCAATTGCACCCCTATATATATTTTTTTACTTCTTTTTTCTTCTCTTTTTTGACCCAAATTTGGGTGTTAACAAGGGAGAGAGAGGGGAAGAGAAAGGAAAGAGAGGAAAAGAGAGTAGGGAGAGAGAGAGAGAGAGAGAAAGAGCGAGGGAGAGAGAGAAAGAGAGGGGGAGAGAGAGGGAGAGGGGGAGAAAGAGGGAGGGCTGGAGAGAGAGACTGTGAGAGGGGGAGAGAGTGGGCCGGAGAGGGGGAGAGAGAGGAGTAGAGGAAAGAGAAGGAGAGAGAGTAAAGGGGATAGAGGGAGAGGGGAAGAGATAGAGGTCAAGAGGTTAGGGGTAAGAGAGGGAGGGGTGAAAGAGTGGCGGACGGAGAGAGCAGGGAGTGAGAAAGAGGTTGAGAGAGGGAGAGAGAGACAAGGATAGAGAGGGAATGGGAGGGAGGGAAGGAAAGCTAGAAAAAGAGGGAAAGAGAAGAGAGAGAGAGAGGGAGAGTCTATAGAATAATCGAGTGACGAGGAAGAGGCAAAGAGATAGGAGGAGAGAGGGAGAGAGAACATGAGGGGGAGAGAGAAAGAGAGAGGAAGAAAAGAGGGAGAGAGGGGGAAGGTAGAGAGAGGAAGATAGAGGGGAGAGAGAGGAAGAGAGAGGGGGAGAGAGGGGAGAGAGTGGGAGAGAGAGGAAGAGGGGCGAGATGTTAAGAGGCCGGGAAAGAGAGAAAGAGAGAAGGGGAGAGAGAGGGGGAGGAAGTGAGAGGTTAGGAGAGTGGGAAAGAGAGAAGGAGAGAAAGGGAGAGAGAGAGGGAGAGAGACGAGAAGGTGAGAGAAGGAGAGAGAGTGATGGATAGAGGGAGAGAGATTAAGGGTATGAAAGGGAAGGAGAGAGAGTGGGATACAAAAAGAGCGAGAGTAAGGGAGAGAGAGATAAGAAGCGAGAGGAAAGGTGGAAGAGAGAGATAGAAGAGAGGATAGAAGAGAGAGAGAGAGAGAGGGAGGGAAAGATGGAAAAAATGGAAAATAAAAGGGAAAGAGAGGGAGAGTATGGAGAATAGTAAGAGAGAGAAAAGAGAGAGGGAGAGAGAGAAAGAGAGAGGGTGGAATAGAGAAAGAGAGAGGGAGGAAGAGGGAGAGGGAGAGAGTGAGAGGGAAGAAGAGAGAAGGGAGAGAGAGAGAGAGGGAGAGTATGAGTGAAAGAGAGGGGAGAGAGTGGGAGAGAGAGGGAAGGGGAATGAGAGTGGTAGAGAGAAGGTTAGAGTGGGAGAGAGGGAAAGAGAAAAAAAGAGTAAGAAAGTGAGAGAGGCGAGGAAAGAGGGAGGAAGAGAGAGAAAGAGAAAAATTAGAGTAAGAGAGAGAGTGGAGGGAGAGAGAGAGAGGAAGAGAAAGTGAGAGGGAGAGAGGGAGGGAGAGGGAAGGGGAGGGAGAGAGGGATAGAGGGAGAAGGATAGAGCTCGAGGGAGGGAGAGAGAGAGAGAGAGAGAGTAGGAGAAAGGGAGAGAGAAATAGAAAGGGAGGTAGAGAGGAGGAGAGAGAGAGAGGTAAAGAGGGAGAGAAAGTGAGAGGGAGAGAGGGGGAAAGAGGGAGGGGAAGGGAGGGGGGAAGGGAGTGAGGGAAAGAGAAGAGAGAAGGAGAGAGAGGGTGTACGAGAGAGGGAGACATAAAGAGGGAGAGAGAGTGAGAGGGAGGGAGAGAGAAAGAGAGAGGGGAAGAGAGAGGGAGATAGGGAAAGGGAGGGAGAGGAAGAAAGAGCTAGAGATATAGAGAGCATAAGAGAGATTAAAAGAGAGATAGAGAAAGAGAGAGAGAGGGTGGGAGAGAGACAAAGAGAGGGAAAGAGAGAGAGGGAAATAGAGGGATGGAGAGAGAGGGAGGGAGAGAAGAGGAGATGGAACGTGAGAGAGAAATATAAAGGAGAGAGTAGGGGAGAGAGGGAGAGGGAGAGGGAGGGAGAGATGGAGAGAGCAAAAGAGAGAAATAAAGGGAGAGGGGGAAAAGTGAGAGAGTGAGAGAGGAAGAGAAGGGGAGAGAGAGGGAGATGAGCAAGTGATAAAGAGAGATAGAGGGAGAGAGACGATCAGAGAGGGGGAGAGGGAGGGAGGGAGAAGGGGAGGGAGAGGTAGATTGGAAGAGATAGAGGAGGGAGGAGGGAGAGAGTGGGAGAGAGGGAAAGGGAAGGAGAGGGAGAGAGAAAAAGAGAGTGTGAGAGACGAAGAGAGAGAAAAGTAGAAAGGAAAAGAGAGTATGGGTGAGGGACTATGAGAGAGAAGGAGAAAGAATGAGAGATAAAAAAAAGAGAGAGAGGGGAGAGAGAGAAAAGGATAGAGAGAAGAGAGAGAAGAAGAGAGGGAGGGAGGGAAAGGAGGAGAGAGGGTGGGAGAAGGAGTGAGAGAGTGGGAGGGAGGGAGAGAAAAGGAGAGAGGGAGAGAAGGAGCGACGAGGGGAGAGAGGAAGGGACGGAGGGGGAGAGAGGAAGAGTGAGAGGGAGACAGAGGATGTGAGATAGAGAGAGTAAGAGAGAGGGAAAGGAAGAAGAGGGAGAGAGGGAAAGGGAGAGATAGAGGGGGTAAGAGTAGGAGGGGGAGAGAGTGAGAGTGACAAAGGGGGAGAGAAAGGGGAGGGAAAGAAGGAGGAAGGAGAGAGAAAGAGAGAGGGGATAGAGAGGGAGAGAGGGAGAGGGAGAGGAAGAGAGAGAGGGAGAAGGATATATAAAGAGAGGAAAAGAGTGGGAGAGTGAGAAAGGGAGAGAGAGAGGTAGAGAGAGAGACGAGAGAGTGAGGGGGAGAGAGTAAAAGAAAGAAAGACGGGGAGGGAGAGAAGAGGAGAGTGAGGGAGAGATAGAGGGAGTGGGAGGGAGGGAGAGAGGGAGAGGATGAGGGAGAGAGTAAAAGAGAGGGGGAGAGGGAGGGAGGGAGAGGGAGAGAGATAGAGGAGCGAGAGATAGAGCGAGGGAGAGAGTAGGAGTGAGAGAGAGATAGATAGAGGTAGATAGAGGGAGAGAGTAAGAGTGAGAGAGAGAGAGAGAGAGGGTGAGTGAGAGAGGAGGAGAGAGGGTGAGGGTGAGTGAAAAAATGGAGAAAGGGAGAGAGAGAGGGAGAGAGTGGGAGGGAGAGAGGAGGGAGGAAGAAACGAAGAGTGGGGGAAGGAGAGATAGAGAGAGGGAGAGAGAGACGATAGATGTAGAGAGGGGAGAGAGTGGGAGGGAGAGAGAAGGAGGGAGGGAGAAACGAAGAGTGGGGGCGGGAGAGATAGAGAGAGGGAGAGAGAGACGATAGATGTAGAGAGGGAGGGAGGGAGAAACAAAGAATGGGGGCGGGGAGAGATAGAGAGAGGGAGAGAGAGACGATAGATGTAGAGAGGGAGAGAGAGAGAGGGATAGAGAGAGTGGGAGGGAGATAGATAATAAGAGGGGGATAGAGAGAGGAAAGAGATAATGAGACGGACGAAGAGAGCGAGAGAGAGAGATAGAGAGAGGGAGATAGAGGTAGAGAGATAGAGGGAGAGAGAATGAGGGAGAGTGAAATAGATAGAGAAAGAGAGAATGAGAGATAGAGGGAGTACGAAAGAGAGGGAAAGTGAGAGAGAGACGAGAGGGCTAGAGAGTGGCGGATGGGGAGAAAAGAAAGGAAAAGGATAGAGGGGAGAGGGAGAGTGAGGAAGAGAGAGGGGGAGGGAGAGAGAGGAAGAGAGAAAGGGATAGAGGGAGGGAGAGGGAGATAGAGTGTGTGAGAGAGAGGTAGAGAGTTGGAGGGAGTGAAAGAGTTATAGAAGGAGAGAGATGGAGAGGGGGAAAGAGAGGGAAAGAGGGAGTGAGAGAGGTAAAGGGACAAAGAGGGAGAGAGAGAGGGAGAGAGGGAAAGTGGTAGAGAGAAAAAAAGGGAGAGGGTGAGAATGGGAAAGAGGGAGAAAGAGAGATGGAGAGAAGGAGATAGGGTGAGAAAGGTAGAAAGGGTGTGAAAGGGAGAGAGAGGGAGAGAGAGGCAGAGAGAAAGGTAGAGAGGAAGAGAGAAAAGAGAGAGAAAGAGAGAGATAAGAGTGGGAGAGAGAGAGGGAGGGAGCGAGAGAGAGGGAAAGAGAGAGGGAGGGAGCAAGAGAGAGAGAGGGAAGAGGAGTGAGGGAGAGAAAAAGAAAGGGAGAGGGAGAAGGATAGAGAGAGAGAAGGGGAGGGAGAGGAGATAGGAAGTAAACGGGAGAGAGGGGGAGAGCAAGAGGTAGAGGGAGATATTAAGAGAGAGGGAGAGGGGAGAGAGAGAGGAGGGAGGGAGAGAGTGGAAGAAGCAAAAAGGGGAGAGAAAAAGAAAAGGAGAGAAAGAGAGAGAGTCATAAAGAGTGGGAGAGGGAGAGAGAGGGAGAAAAGAGAGAGGAAGAGAGAAAAGGGGAGAGGAAGAGAGAGGGAGAGAGAGAGATAGCATGAGAGAAGGAGAGAGAAGGGCGAGAGAGAGGGTGAGGGTAAGGGTGAGGGAGGGAGTGAAAGGGAGTGAGTGAGAGAGAGGGAGAGAGGGAGAGAGAGGGGAGGGAGAGAGAGGGAGAGAAATAAAGAGAAAGAGGGAGTGAGAGAGAGGGGAGAGGGAGAGAGAGGGGAGAGAAAATAAAGGGGAAAGGGAGTTAAAAAGAGAAGGAGAGAGAGATAGAAAAGGACAATAGATAGGAAATGAGGAGGGAGAGAGGTGGAGAGATGGGAAGTACGAGGGGGAGAAAGAGGGAGAGAGAGGGAGAGG